ATTGACATTACCATATCATTAAAATCGAATTTTATGAACAAAAACAGCTTGTGGTAGTGTTCCTAATCCAAAACAGGCCAAAAACTCAAAGATTTTGCCATCAGATGCACCAACTCGTCGAGTTCAATGATAGCCTCGGCGATTTGGCCCTGGCAGAATCCTGAAATGCAGTTTTTCGGCTTTGAAAATTACACATTGCATCAATACAATAGAAAACACCCATGGCACTGATACCACTGTTGGGTTTTATGTACTCTAACATTCCTATGGTGCACATACAACCCTAATGCTTTGGATCTGAGTTTTCTCTAATTATACATGCAACATTGATATCCAAAGCATGGAGCCTAAACTAGCATACAAAATTTGATACATGAATCATAATACTAGTTAGAAGATTACCTTTTTATGTAGCTAGTAAGACTTTGGCCTTATGAGAACTTAGCACCCCAAGTGTTGTGCCTCAAACAAGTCACAAACACCAATAAACAACTAGATGGATATGAGAGAGATTTAGGAGACTAGTAATCGGATTCTACTTCTTGGAATGCAAGGTGTAACCAATTTTAGCAATACATATATATATATATATATATATATATATATATATATATATATATATATGTGTGTGTGTGTGTGTGTGTGTGTGTGTGTGTAGAATATCAAAGGTCACGTGTAACCCTAATCCATACCCACAAGCTTATGATCCACCCATTTGATTTGGATAAATACTTCATGGATTAACCCATAAGCCCATCACAAATCAAACCATGGATCGTTAGCCCAACTCATATGTATCAATTTAATTAGTCTCTTTTGATCACTATATTAATTCTAAATTAATTCTTGATCAATACTAATTAAATAATATGATTCCTCAATTAATATATTATACTTATAATATATTAAGAAATCATAAATAACCTCTTACTCAAATATCCATCTATCAAATTGTTCTGGTGAAGGCAACCCGAAATGGACAATGCTACTATCGGGTCAAGTACATAGCAATTATAGTTATGGGCTTAGAAACCTAATCCAACACTAATTGGGTGATGATGGTTAAAGGTTGTTTAGTTTCTTCCAGATCACCAGTCTTGATTAATGGAAGTCATATTGAAGAGTTTTGTCTGGAAAAGGGGCTCGGACAGGGATATCCCTTATCTCCTTTTTTATTTCTTCAGGTTATGGAAACATTAAATGTAGCTATGGGTGATCCTGTTAATATGGGGCTTTCTAAACCTTTCCTAGTCGGTAATAATAATGTGCCTATTTCACACTTTCTTTATGTTGATGATGCTATGTTTGTCGGGTATGGGTCTAAAGAGAACGCTAGGAACTTGGTCACCATTATCAAGTGCTTTTATGAAGTCAAATTGTAACACTCGGATCTTGGTAAGTTTCAATTTTTCCTTCATTAGTTAAAAGTTGCAAATTAGCCCTTAGAGTAGTACGAGGGGCATACCACTTGGTACGCTTAGCGTACTAGCTGAGAAGCCAGTACGCGGGGCGTACCACCTGGTACACTTAGCGTACTAATGCGAGATGGATCGGGACTTCGGGTGCGTACGCGGGGCGTACGCTTCTGTACGCTGGGCGTACGTGCAGTTTCTAGAAACCCTAATTTAGGGTGTTGCACCCTATATAAACAACTTTAACCCCTAGGGCTGGCCTCTCTATTTGTCCCTAAACCTCTAGAAAACCCTAAAGAGTCCCTTAGCCTCCATTATTTTATTTTTGAGCTTTTGAAGAGAAATTGGTGTCATTTTGCTCATTCTTGAAGAAACTAGAAGAAGGTGGAAGTTCATTTCTTGGTAGGGAAACTTGAGATCCAGGATCATTCATCTCTTTACAAGCTTCTAAAGGTATCAAGTTCAAATCTTGACTTGTTAATGCTTAGATCTCTTCATGGGTTGATTTGTCACACTTTTGGTCCCTTTTGAGTTGATTGATGGATTGGGTCATTTGAAGGGATCATTTCTCTAGATCTGATCTTGTTAGAGGCTTCCTAAGCATAAAGGTGCCAACTTTATGGGGTATTGGTTCTCATGCATGCATTAAGCCACTTATTAAGTGCTTATTAAGTCATTTCTAAGCTTAAGCGCTTCATTTAGCCATGCATTAACGTAAAGTTAGCAACTTTACGTGTTATTCTAGCTCAAGGGAGTCAGATCTACGTTTTGGAGCTTTATCTTAATGGATTGAGGGCTTAATGTGAAAAGTGGCTGAACAGGAGGAGTACGTTGGGCGTACTTGCCAGTATGTGCAGCGTACAAGCCTCAATGCGGGTACGCTTAGCGTACAGCTTAGTACGCCTCGCGTACTTAGTCGGTTGGGCTTAGCGGTTTTGGGCTTCAAGTTTGGGCCATCTTTTGGGCCTAGATGCTTGGGCCCTTATTGGGCCATCTGAGTACAAGTGTTTTGGGTTAAGTGGAAGGGTGGGCCTTAGGATAAGGCTCGGATAAGGCCCAAGTAGGAGCTTGGGCCCAATTTGGAAAATTGGGCCAAATATGGGCCTTGAGTGATTATTTGGTTTGGGTTTAGGCCTTAGCCCAAACTAGGAAAAGGGTAGAGTGGCCTTTTACCCTAACTTTTAGACTAACAGCTAAGGATTGGAACCCAATTATTAATTGGATGATTATTTTGTTTGTGATAGCGCGAGGATTTAGTGGGCCAGCAGCCAGAGACTTTCAGTGTGATTCAGCAGTGTGAAGTGAGTCTTCCTCACTATACTTACGGGTCGAAGGAACCAAGGCTGACCCTTTGGATTGATAAATTCAAATCTAAATTAAATGGGTGGAAAACTAAAATGCTTTCTATGGGAGGGAGACCCACGCTTATTAAATATGTTCTGGTTCATTATGAATTTATTTTTTCTCTTTGTTTAAAATGCCAGTTAAATTCGGTGATATGTTGGAATCGGCTAGGGCCTGTTTTTTCTGGGGGGGGGGGGGGGGAGGAGGCTGGTGCTGGAGAGAGAATTTTTTCTTTTCTAGGTGACTTGGAAAGTCGTGATGGCTTCTAAAAATAATGGCGGCTTGGATATTGGTAGCCTTGTTGATTTTAATGAAGCGTTACTGTTGAAATGGAGGTGGCGTTTTGTAAATTATCTTGATGCTTTGTGGGTTAAAGTAATTAAATCTATTCATGGTGTTAGTGGTGGTTTTGATTTACAATGAAGGAAACTTGCAATTAAATGGGTATGGGCTAGTATGGTTTCTAATTGTTGTTCCCTTCAACACTCCCAAGCGGTCTTTGGGTGATGGAACTTCTATACGTTTTTGGAAGGATGCGTGGTTGAGAGATGAGACCTTACTGGTTAAGTTGCCTATGTTGGCTGCTCTGGAAACGGATATTGACTGCACCATTGCTGATAGATGTGTTGATAATGGTTGAATTAGAGTTGGATTTGTAATCCAGGAGGAGGAGTCACGGGGTCTCACCTAACATCTTTAATTGATTTATTAGTGCAAGTGAATGTTATTGACAAACCATACCGATGGATTTGGGACCTGGCAGTGGATGTTGATTATTCTGTCAAGGAAACTCGAGGTGTTATTGATGATGCATATTTACCCACTAATGCTATGGTGACCTTCTGGAGTAATATCATTCCTATAAAAGTTAATATTTTTTTTCTTGAATTATGTTGAATCATTTACCGACTAGAGATAAACTTTCCTTGAAAGGGTTGGAGATTCAATTTGACTAATTGCCCGATCTGCTCAACGTTTATGGAATCTGTGAATCATGTGTTTCTTGGTCGCCAACTAGCTAAAGATCTTTTTTACCGTGTAGGTTTATGGTGCGAAGTGGATTTCTCTAGTCTTATGTTAGTCACGGATTTGATTCCACTTTTGGAAAATTTTGTGTTGTCTTCGGTCAAGAAACAAGTCATAGAGGTGATTATTAAAACTAATTGATGGTACTTGTTTATCTGCTACGTCTATGTAAAACTTTCTTCTTTATTAAGAATTAAAAGATTTATCGTAGGAATCATAAATTTCATGTTAAGTGGAATTTATGGATCCAAAACCCCCCTTTGATCTCTACTTTGTAATTCTCGTTTTTGCTCTAGTTGGTTGCTAGAGCTTTTTTTTCTTTTTTCTAATATATTCAGCCATTAAAAACAATACCATGCTATATTATATTATCATCTTGTTCGTTGCGGATTTAAATAAATTCAATCAAAACTCAAAAGGATTAGGGATTATTATTCTTTGGTCAAACGATGCCATATTTTCTTATACTATATGATTTATTTTTTATTTTTTTATCCATCTTGTCTTTCTGCAGATAAGATATTTACCATACTTTTAGTACAAACATTTGATGATCAGTATATCTAAATTCTGAAAGATAAAAAGGACAACTGAACTGAATGCTAGAAATTTATAGAGAAAAGAGACAAAATTAGGTGCATATTAATGGGTTAACCCGATTTATTAGTGCCTAATTTATATGCTTAAATAAACGTAGCTATGGCCGACCATGTTCCTCATATGCTCTATCGATGGTCCACATCCCTCCACTATCTTCTAATCGAACGGTTCACACCTGGCCACTAAGAATGAACACTTATCGACAAATAACGGTCCTTACTCATCCACGTGGCAGTAAATATGGCGTTCTTATAGCATTTGATCCGACGGTATCCCGTATTCCAATCCCCATTCCCTCCAACAAAACATTTCTTCTCCCTTCTCTCATATTCCGGTCGCCTGAATGTCTTTTCCCGATCACTTTTCCGTCGACGTTTTACTCACGACTCACGGCGTTTGCTTAGAATTATGAATTCTGCTTTTCTTTCTTCAATTGTAATTGTTTCTTTAAGTTTCTTGAGGTGATTCGGTTAGGACAGGATCCTATAGAATTTGGACTTTGTGATCAGCAAAATTCCCGCGCCAGAAATTTCTGAGGACTTTTGTTTTTGGGCATAATTCAATTACGAACAGATTGATAGCATAAAGTCAAAAAGCTAGAATTTGAAAGGTAGTTAGATGGCGGATTCAGATAATGAGTCCGGCGGAGGACACAACGGCGATCACTCGCTTCGGGAGCAAGATAGGTTTCTTCCGATAGCAAACGTGAGTAGAATCATGAAGAAAGCGCTGCCAGCAAACGCAAAGATCTCGAAAGACGCAAAGGAGACTGTACAGGAGTGTGTGTCGGAGTTCATCAGCTTTATCACCGGCGAAGCATCAGATAAGTGCCAGAGAGAGAAGCGAAAGACGATCAATGGTGACGACTTGCTATGGGCCATGACAACGTTAGGGTTTGAGGACTACGTCGAGCCGTTGAAGGTTTACTTACAGAGATTTAGAGATATGGAGGGTGAGAAGACAGCGCTCGCGGGACGACAGGGAGGCGAGAAGGAAACCGCCAGTGTGGGCGGTGGTGGGAATGGCAGTGTTGTAAATATTGGAGGTAACGGAGGGGGGTTTCACGAGAATAATGGAGGAGGAGGGATGTATGGCACGATGATGGGGCATCATCAACAACAACATCAAGGAGGAGGACACCTGTACGGGTCGGGTAGTTTTTATCAGTTTGGCCAAAACCCGACTGGGAAAATGGGCCCTGCTGCATATCCAGGATCCGGCCCATTAAACGGAAGGCCGACCCCAAGATAAATCAATATTAAATAACCGCCAAAGTCCCGAGTATATACAAGACTACATTACGACAGTACGTGACAAAAGCCATCTCAAACATGAAACATTACTATTATATTTATATACCTGAATTATAATAGATTTAGGTGATGAAAGATAACGACTTTAGGTACGCTTTTTGTATGTCATTATTAATTATTTAGGTATGTTTTGTTTTGTTTCGAGCACTTTCATTGATTGGTATTAGATTATTAGAAGGAGATTTGGTTACTTTAATTTGTTTTATTTGGCTAGAGCAAAAGTATATAATATTTGGTCCCTTTAATACATTATCAGCTCTTCTTGTTCCTTTATTCCCTTTAATGCCACAATATAAAAGATGTAGTTAAAAAGATAAATCTATTAACATTATAAATTAAATGGTTTTGCTACCAAATGACATGTGGTATAATGATATAAATGTGGTATAATGATATAAAGAAACTGGAAATACATCTTTTGTCAATATGTTGAGAATTTATGAGGTTCTTTGTTGTTTATTAAAAAAAAAAAAAAAAAACAAAAAAAAAAAAAAACAAACTTTTGATCATTTTTGTTGCGCCTACATGCTCAACATGATATTTTGCAGTTGTTTGTTTTCTAAATGACCTCTGACTTAAAAATTATTGTGCGGTGCAACATTAGACTTTTCTTTTTAAACAACTTTTCACTTTACTTTAAGTTATAATATTCAATATAGATTTGCTTTAATTTTTTCAACATATTTACTATTTTAATAATATTACGAAGGATGTTATAAACAATTCAAGTATACATAATTTCAAAACTGTTTAGTAAATTTCATATAGATATTTTTTGTGTTACATTGTCGATAACCAAATATTAATAAATTATAAAATTAATCACTAAAATAATTAAATTTATTGAAGCTAATCAACGAAATAATCATCGTCTTGGAAAATTTAAAAAAATGAACATGTTCGCTAAATTAACAATTTCACTTATTGTTATTTAACAATTATTATGTTTAATTATTTTACATAGACATTTTTAAAAATCATATCACCGCAACGAATTTATATTCGATTTGCATATGATTAAAACTGAATAAAAATTTTATTTAGAGTTATTTTTTAACTATTGGATGGTTAATTTTAGTTTATTTAAGCAGTCCGCATGCGTTAAAAAACAAACAGATTTTTATTGCAGTTAGTAGACGTTTGTCTCACTTCTTATGCTGCAGATGGTTGCAGATGTGGTCCGAACATTACTGGTGTTTTAGCTTCGAAAAAACAAACACGTAAGTCTTGCATGAGATAAGACATGTAGATTTTGGGTTAGGATAGGAGATGTGTGGTTGGTCGTTAAAAAAACTGATTTTAAGATAGGTTTGTATTCATATTTAATTATTTGTACGGTTGTAAAGGAACTGAACTAGCAAGTACTCATTTATGTTTGTTCATTTAAGTTTGTAACACCCTGTTTATTAAATAAATAAATAAAATAGAATTTACTAAATAAATAATATGAACCCCGGGATGAGAAATGTATTTTTATATTTTTAGTCGAGCCCTAGATCCATAATAATTTAGGGATGTTAGCTATGGGAGTTAATTGTGATAATTTTTGGAAGTTATTAGGACTTATTATGAAGGAAATTATGAAGTCAAGGGTTAGAGGGTAATTTTCGGATTAGCCTTGCAAATAATTCACAAAAATGGAGGGATGTATGGTAACTTTCGGACGTCAACTGAAGAAGATCTTATAGGGAGGGGCGAATATTGGAAAAATGACCAAATGTTTGAATGAAGGCACGAGATTAGACCGATACCATCTTTCCCTCCCATTCTCATAACTCAACCCTAACCCTAGCATTATGTTTCAGCCGCCATGCGTGAGTTGCCAGCCGCCACCTCTCATCTTCTCACTATTCCGACCAGGCAAGGATGCCGCCTGCTTCCCCACCGATGAGTGTCGCTTATACGACACCTGCTGCCGGAGACGCTATGGACGATTGGAGAACCGGTAAAGACCGACGGAGAGGCTGTTCGTCGTGTACGGTACGTGAGCAACCAGGAAATGTTATGGAAAGCCTAACCTTCATCTCTCTCCTTTCCCCTCTCCGTCGTCCCTCTCGATGTTTGACACCGTGTACGTCAATGCGGCCGCCGGTGGCTTTTGGACGGCTTGTGGTCGTCGTTTCCGGTGACACCAGCCGTATAGGATGTGGCCGGATGTCGGGTGTTCAAATATACATGTTGTTTATCGTAGTCTTGGAGTTGTTTGCATGATATATGGTCGGAAAACCCACCACCATCGCCTCAAGGTGATGGTTGCCACCACTGCCACCGTTTCTGCCGCCACCAGCCACCGTGAAGGGTGGCTGTGTGTGTGTTATTGTGTGAGAGAGTGTGTATTTTGTGAGTGTGAGGCTGTATATACGATTTTTGGCAGGAACCGCCACCACCACCATTAGAAATGGTGGCTGCCGCCGCCTGCCGCCATGAGCCGCCGCCGACCACCACTGCCCGAGGTGGCAGTGGGTGGTGCCCGGCCTAGTAGAACCCTAATGGACCTGAAATCTTAATGATGGACTTGGTTGGCTCGTGTGTGGGTTAGAAACCCTAATTAGGGTTTAGAAAACCCTAATTTTGGGTTTGTTGGTTTGGACCTATCGGGACCCACGTTATAGGCCATTGGAATTGAAATTTGAATTATGCCCAATCACATTGTATGATTGACCTGGTAGATTGATGGACTTAATGGATTAAGTCTTTAATGGGTTAAGTACGTGTTTCTAATTAACCCTAATTGTCATTTCATGTGAAACCCTAATTTCAATTGGGTCTTGAGTTGGGCCTTTCTATTGAGTTTTAGTAATTGGGCCAATAATTTGGCCATCCAAGAATGATCATATGGACTAGAAAATTTAGGTGGACTTCAGGGTAAGGCCCATATGAGGGTTTGGGCCCAATTTGGAAAATTAGGCCATAGATGGGCCATAGTTTGGGCCTTGATGGTTATATGATATTGGGCCATTAGAATACCAAGTGTTGGACCAAGAATAAATGGTTGGTCCTTAAGGCAAGACCATGTAGAGGTTTGGGCCCAATTTGGAAAATTGCGCCATAGTTGGGCCTTGGTTCACTATTAGACTTTTAGGCTTTTGGATTGGGGCTTGGACTTGAGTCAAGCTAAGTTAGGGGTAAAGTAGTCTTTTACCCCAAGCATGGATTTTATGGATATGTGTTGGGGACCCAATTATTTTTTGGGTGTTATTTTGATGTTGACAGATTCGGGAATCTGTCATCCAGCAGCTAGGGTTTTGTCAGCGGGACTTCAGCAGTGTGAGGTGAGTCCTCTTCCAGTAGGAACGGGTCTAAGGCACCAATGTCGGCTCGTGTAGTTTATATGTTCTTAATAGGAACACGGAGTGTGGGCGGGGCCCGTATCTCATTATTACTAGAGTATAGATATTAGTCAGATTGTTGGATTGCTATACTTGTTGTCTGTGTGATACTTGTATGTGTTTGTTTATATATGTGAGTGTGGGCGGGGCCCGTATCTCATTATTATTTGAGTATGGTTATTGGTATAATGGTAGGTTGTGTATTTGTTATCTGTGTGATACTTGTATGTGCTTGTTTATGTATGTGAGTGGGGGCGGGGCCCGTATCTCATTATTATTCGAGTGTGGGTGGGGCCCGTATCTCATGATTGGTTGAGTGTGGGTGGGGCCCGTATCTCCTAGTCAGTTTTCGTTTCAGGTACTTCGGTTTTCAAAAGAGGAGCTCGGGATGATTGCAGCGCACACACCATTTATTCAGCCTGGGATGTTTATACTCTCATATATTTGACAGATGTTATGATATTCTTGAGATACACGATTTATGATTTTTATATGTTGAAAGATAATTATGGTTTTTATTAATGATTTAAAACGAAATTTTTGGACTGTATTTTTGGGATGTTTCAAGTTGGTATCAGAGCCTTGGTTTGAGGGATTCGGGCACACTCTCGGGTGTGTTTGAACTCAAACTGAGGACTTGGTATGAAAATTTTCAAAAGAAAAGCATTTTTACCAAAAAGAATTTTGAAAAAGAAAAGAACTTTGAAAAGAGAAAAAAAGTGTGGTGCATGCAATCAGCCGAGCTCAAGTAAATACTTCCAAATTACCCATACAAGTTTATGTTATGATATGTTATGAGAACTGCATGCTAGATTAGGGCTAAGGATCTAGGAAGGATGCCTTATATGCCTGTTATATGTGTATCAGCTTTATGAACTGCATGCTAGTACAGATTAGTCAGTATGATGGCCTGATTAGTATATGCTTGATTATGTTTACTCAATGCTCGAATGCTGCTTGTTTTGTGCTTTTAGGAGTTCTAGTTGTCTTTTACTAACTAGTAAACGAATATGTTAAGTTACATATTGCGAGGACTAAATAACTTCAGAAGGTTAGGTCTAGCTCTATTTCGCAGCTCTTGTTTGAGTCCAACTGTTGTAGGGTAGGATCTCTCATTCGAAGAATTATCTAGTCTTAGTGATATGTAATGGTATTCGGGAGCTAGTTAGGGGGGATAGCAGGGACTTCTTATGCAGCTGATGGCGGAGAGTGGGTTGGTGATTACCCTAGGGCAAGTCTAGGATGAGAGTAGCAGAGAACAGTAGCAGTATAAGGGACTTGGTGGAGTCAAGGCAGTTCTTGAGGATAGTACGGATAGATGTGGAAGGTAGTATGGGCCCGTACTACTGAAAGCAAAGGATCCGTACTCGAATCAAGGAAGGCTGAGATGAATCTAGGAAACTTGTAGTGTGTGAGATCCCTCGAGTTATGATGAGTATTATGATGTTAGTGATGGTATATGACCGAGTATAGTGGCGCTACGTGGTAGACCAGATGGCAGTTCGGGTGCCGGCGAGGGATCAGGCTCGGACTCTGGAGCCGGGCAGCTTGATGGTCAGATGAGGGAGTTCATTCCATCTGAGAGTACGCGCAGTATCATTGACCAGAC